ACAGACCGTCTTCAGTATCAATTCGATTATCAAAACTCACACTAACAATTCGACAAGGTAAAATGGTACACATTTTTGACAGTGGCGAAATTGAAAGCACCTTCGCCGATATAATTAAATCTCTGCTAAAAGACCCCTTTAACACCAACTTAACAATAACACAACTTACAAGAAATAAGGATAACGTTTTGCCAAACACGGCGGTAAACAGATCCCTTGCTGAGTTTTTCTGTACCATGAAAAAATCAGCTAAGAATAGGTATTCACGGCAGCTGTTATCCAGTAAAGCAAAGTGCATGCTGCGGAACAGACTCTCAAAGGAATACTGTAAAAAGAACAAAAAAACAAGAGAAAAAGAAACACTTCAATCATTATAGGTAAAGTTCAAACGATAACACGAAATTTACTCCAAAGTTCTTTAGTGGTAAGTGTAACCCTCCAACAAATTCAAAGCAATGATCAAGGAAATGAGTACTAAGTAACAATGACATTCTGTTTCCAACGACTCTCTTACCTTCTTTTCGCTCTTTTGCGCCGCATGAGGAACGATCACGGGTTCCTCTAACTCTGATGTTAAAACACTGCCTCGGCTTCCAAGAGTAAAAATTGTGGAACGATTCTTTAAAGCAACTCTTCCAGAGAAAATACTTAGGATGTATTAAGGAAAACTCTGGTATAGCTGATCCAAGAACCACGCTAATACAGCAGAATAAGACCCCTGTTGTTGGGTTTTGATGGCTCCTCAGTACCCTCACAGATTACGCCAATATAGCTGAAAAAATTACATGTTCATTTGGAAAAGGATATCTCTCTTTGCGTTATCCTCTATTCCCATAAGGTCGTCTCTATCAGCCTGCTCTTCAAACTGAAAAGAATAAAAAAAACCGATAGCAAAAATATATATCAAACAACAAACATATGAAATACATATATATGAACTGCGGTTATGAAACGTATATGTGCACGATCCTTCGCAGTAAAGCACTATTTAAGCAATAGTGAAAATCAGACCTGAAAAAAATGTTTGTTGTTTGATTTATCATCTTACGGGTTTATGTCGAATTAATTTGATGGCCTGCTCTCAGTTGGCTTGTTAGCTCAATCGGTAGAGCGCTGCACTAGTATCGCAGAGGTCAGTGGTTCGAATCCCGTACAGGCCTGAATTTTTTTCAGGTCTGATTTTCACTATTGCTTAAATAGTGCTTTACTGCGAAGGATCGTGCACATATACGAAAAATATATATACAAATAAAAAATGGACAATGTGGTGGGTTATCAGTTATGAGCCAACTTGAAATTCTTGCAGTCATAACGATACTTTATATTTTTTAATCCAGAGTGATATGAAATAATATTGGCGTGAAGATTTCAGAACTTTTCAAGTACTTTGTTACAGAACAAATTGACCCTTTGAGCACGGAAGGCTGTGTTATGTGATCCCAGCTGCTTCACTGATAGGAAAATTTCTGCATGCTTGCAAAATTGGGAATCAAATAAACCAGTTACTGGGGACTGTTAAGTCCCGGTTACGTTACGGGCCCGGAAAGCAGTTCTGTTTTCAATCAAGATGGGTGTTTCAAAAGTTTTGAAAATTAAACTATAAAACTAACGGCTTAAGGAAAAAATGAACTGGCTAGGGTACCAGGACATTCATCTCTATTCTTAAAATTTTGATTTTAAAATACGTTTTCGGGCCCGTTGAGTTACCATGACTTTTGAGAAACAGGACCCTGTTGGTCCGTTAAAACATAGAAAAAGTGTCATTCGCTCACTTGCAGCTTGAGAAGTTTGGAAATGTACGTTTTGAAATACGAGAAATAAATCTTGCTCATCGTGTCGATATACTCATCCCTTATTTCTCGTGCAACTTGACGATGATGCGCCATAAGAAATTCATTGAAATACCTGACAACGAAAATAAATAAATAAATAAATAAATAAATGAACAAACATCAGTCAGCAGGCATCTTTTCCTCGTGTACCATTTAGGAAAAGTAAGGTTTTCTTTGCTTTGTTTGATGCCCATTCTGTTTATTACTTGGTGCTGGTCTGAACCTTCCTCTAAGCATTTTGACGAGTTTTGCCTTCACGTGTAATTGACCCTTAATTAATTAACACCTTAGCATCAGGATTCGTATTCTCCATTCTCACTAGTAGTATTTGATTGGCAATCAAGAGCTTCTGAAATTTGTGATCATTTCCTTTATTCCCATGACCTTCATAACTGATTGAAGGCCCCGGATACTGCTAGGTCTGTAATTAGAGACCGCTCACTCTTACGGGCTGCAGAGTTGACTGAGAAGTTGATGCGGGGCTCAAAATCAGTCGCAGAGCGATGTAAAGCAACACCAGTACGTACATAACATAAAACAAACATAAATGAATGACCTAAATTTGAGCAAAGCATTTTGTGGAATCTGATAATTTGTCATCGGACGACGAAATTGGTATATCCTTTGCAACACGTAGTCTCGTATCTTGTGCACCGCCTAGAAGTGAAATAAAACAGGAGAGTCAGAAGTACAGTTTTCTAATAACAATCAAGGAAATGGGTATAATACAAAAAGGGATGTTTTGCGCATTATGAGCTGTCGTTAAACATGAGGCACTTTTCTCAAATAAAGCTGTTTTGTAATTAAGATGAGGAAAAAATAAGCAGGAGGTAGCCGTGATTTTGTATCAATGCCTACACTAATTCAGAGATCTCTATGAAAGCGTTATAAAAGTCTTGGAGGAGATCTTAAGTCCGTTTCCGAAAACCCCACATTTGGTCTAAAATGGTGAATGGAAGTCCCAAGAAACAGGCTGCGAACTCGCACAAAAATGTCTCGGAAATTACCTTAACAGTTAGAGGTTTTGACCCTATAACGTTCAACAATCGAGGAAAAATGAAAGAAATATCCGGGTTTACCCTGTTTGAGCGTAACTATCTGAAAAGGCAGTACTATGAAATGCACTAATAATTAACTACAGGTCCGGCACATTACCTTACTTTTCAGCTTCTCCAATTCGTCTCCCACATCATTGACAGATAGAGCCCCCTTAAAAGATTGCTCCTTCGCAAAGTCGATCTTGTGGTGTAACTCATGCAGTTGTTCAATGAATGCCTGCTCGGTCACCGGCGTATCGCAAATGTGTCTGCAATTCAATAATTCATTTTACCACCAACGGTCTACTCACTAAAGCGTTTTCCGGCTGAGTGTTACAAAACATGAACGTAAGTGATCAAGACTTCTCAATGAGTACAAAAGGAAACTCGAGAAGCTGAAGGAAACTCAAAGTAAAGATCGCGAGGGCGGGAAACTTGGCAAACCAAGTCACGATTGGTTTCAGTTCTCTAGACGAATCAAGAAGCGCAGCAAAGCGAAAAATATGCAATCCGGGTTACTTGAACTAGTGGAAAGAGGCAAAACGATCTTAAGGGGAGGAGGAGCGGGGTGGGTGGCTGGGGGAAGGACAGTGGTTTGATTCTCTCCTTACTGTATGCGAGAATCGTAATGCACGACCTAACTCAGAACGAATCGCTCATGAGAGATTTGTATTATATGGGCGAGGTGGTAAGTTTAGCTCTTTGTCCTGCACTTCAATAATGCTTCATTCTGCAGATACTATTTCCAAAGGAAAAGTAATAATGATTTCAAACTGCTTAAAAATAGCACAATCAAGATGACTGAGCATCAAGTTTTCGAGTTTTGAAATTGAAAAAGCAAGTCACGGCCTTAATAACAGAACGTGACATGGCAAATTTATTCAGACACGCCAAACTGAAACGTATTTACAAGTACAAAATGGAATTACATTTACGGAAAAAAGAGGGTGAAAAAGTAAAGAATGAACATAAATCGTGAGATATACGATTATGAAGAGAGTGAGCTGCTATCAGCGCACATATGACAACCTGTAAGCTGTTCGCATTTGCATTTACATATGTAAACAACTCGGCTGAGAAAGAACACAAGCGCTCAAACTGATGAATTGGTTTGCTTATCATTTTAAGTTTCACTTTCGGCAGTTCTTCTTCATAGAAATAATTCACATTTTTAATTTAAAAGATAAAGCGAACTTCCAAGGGTAGACGGCTCCAGAGCAGTTAATTTGAACTTTTCACTAAATCGAACTTGCATTTCCTTTGAGGTGCCTTTTTTGTCACTTTCAGTCAGCTAACTCGAGCTTCTCGGTATCTCGAGCCGCCTTTTTTTTTTCTTCATTTCCCGTGACCATTCGAGTTAGCAGGGTTCGGTAGTCATCTCGCTTAGGCAGTCAATGGAAAAAAATTGCTTGAAAAAGGGAACAATTTTTATTGTAAATTTCACACGTTGACTCCTTCCTAAATTTAAGATTAATACTGGATTGTTGAATGTTGTAATTTTCGGAATCAACTTGCATTTTAAACGCTGGTTGTTGCACATTTTACACATTCAGCATTTGTCTTGTTATACCAAGCTCTCCGTTGTTCCATCCCTGGACTGCGTGCACTAAAAGTTGTTCCTCTCTGTGTCGAGTTGAGCGAATATGACAATTGTGAAGTGGCCCCTAAGTTTCCAAAACAACTCTGCCAAACTTGAACAAACGCTCGGCGATACTTGGAGACTCTCCAAGCGTAGATGAAGGGATTTATGGCAGAATTTATGTACAAAAATCTGGATAACGCTACGTCGATCTTGTGAAAAGTTATCGACTGCTGGCAGCGATTGCAAAAGTACAACAGATGAAGAGTGATGTATTGTGGAATATATGTGATGTAGAATAATACTAAAATGATGATTATTGTCATGGCCATTCGCCGCTCGCGTTCTAAAGCGTACGTCACGATTGAATCGTACCTACCAGTTTGAAGTTCACGCGTTTGGGAAACGAGAGCGCGAAAAACGTTCACGTAGATGAACGTTAACAAGACGGCAGGTAGCGAAACGTGAGTGTGAAGGTATATAAGTGTGTACGTTTGTTCTGATATGTGAGTCAGAGGAAGAGAGCACGTTGCGATCGATGTAAACCATAATACCGCAATAAAAACCTTAAGTCTTCCCCTTGTAATAATCGATTTGTAATCCACGGGATTGTTGATCGCCACGTAACATGCTATTGACATGGCAATGATGGAATAACTGCTCACAAACAGAGTCGCAGAGAGCACTGTGTACACGATTGACTTAAAAACCCCAACGTGAGGTATGTGTTCGAGTCTAGATCGATACACATCTCTCAAAGCAACCAGGAAAACATTCAACACACCCAACAGAAGATCAGACAGGCTCAAATTGGTGATCAGCAAAACTGCAGGTAATTTCCGAAGCGACTTTCGAGGATCTTTGTATGTGGTGAAGAGCAGGGTTGAATTCGCTACAATGATGATACTTGCAACGACGAATCCTGCTACAGCTAAACTCAACCAATACACTTTGTCCTTGATTATGGTAAGATAAAAATCGTAATTTGGATCAGAGCCATTCGACATTATCATACACTGAAAAAGCGAAGCTGAATCGAGTGCGGCGGTTGGCGCAGTAGTATCAACTTACAAATACAAAATGCTCTAATCAATAAATGATTCACATCACGTACATGCATTTTAAAACGAAATTTGGACACGTTTCCTCTCCTACGTCAATACAAAAACATTATACTCGACATGCTAATTTTAACCAACAAGAATTTGGTTTTCTAATGTTAAAAAAAGGGATGAGGAAGTCACATTTCACAAAAGCTTTTCATTTCGATTATAAGTGAAATCACCCTACCATAAAATTACGTGCAGTACTACATAAACAAAGGAAACAGCTTATCATACCGCTGGCAGTGCCCGTGGGTAATGTGAAGAGAATCCTATGTTCTGATTGGCTACCCCACAATATTGACATCAAATAGAACGATTCTCTCAGAACATGACACGTTGCGTGACGCGTTGACGCGAGCGGCGTTGTCTGTACTCTTATGGCAAATTGGCCAATCAGATTGCGACATTAACTTTAATTGTGGTAAAATTACTCTTAGCTTATTGGTAACTTTTTTTATACAAAACTGTGGCGTTTAGTGGCAAGTTTTAGTAAAAGACAAACAAAAAATTGGTTTACTTACGAAACCATGGAGGGTGGTATTGCTATTTCACCAACAAACTGACTCAATTCACCCTTGATAGCCTGGGGAAATAAATGAAGGATAACATAAAATAGAGAAAATGAAGTGAATGAAATAAAAGAGCAGAGATGGTATATCTCAATATAAAAAAGACATTGAGTGGAAAGATTTGGAGGACTAAGATTGAAAGGGGAGTGTTAAAGTAAAGAGAATAGGCCCTTTGCAGTTAGAGATCACGTGCTAAAATAACGCATAGCAACGCCATGGTGGAGAGCAAGCACTCCACTGATCTCAGACAAAACAGAGATCACAGAGGTCTGCATTCAAACAAAGAATACAGCGGATAACAAGTTAAAGGGTATCCCAATTCGAGAAATCTTGTAAGTTTAATCAACAGCTTCCTTGGAGTTTATCAGCAAAAAACAAATTTTTGTGTGATTTTGCTGCTGATACACTCCGGGGAAGCTGTTGATTACTTCTTACTGGATTTCTCGAATTGGGATACCTTTTGACCTGTTATCCGCTGTATTCTTTGTTTGAATGCAGACCTCTGTGACCTCTATACTGTCTGAGATCACTGGAGTGCTTGCTCTCCAGTATGGCATTGCTATGCAGTATTTAAGCACGTGATCTCTAGCTGCAAAAGGCCTATTGGAAGTGGGAAGGATGAAAAGAACAGGAAAGTAATTTGAGGGACAGAACAGCACAGGGCAGAATGCAACATGAAGAGATAGAGAAAAGTGTACAAGAAGAGGGCATGAGAATAATTTTAAAACTTAATAAACTTAAAGTTTATAATTTAGACAATTAATAGTAAGAAGTCAAGTTGGGGCTCAAGGTCACTGCTGAGTTTAATGACCTCTAAGAGAGAACTAACAAAACTTTGATAAACTTTGAAAGCAAAATGAACTAAAAAATTCACAATACGTGCACATAGTTTTGCCTGGGATCACACCCCAGTAAAAACAAGTTTCTCAGCTTGTAGTTACTGTAACAACTAACCTGTCTATTTTTTAGTTTTATGTTCATTGACAGAGACTGTTCTTGAAGAGTTTGGATTTCAGAGCTTATGCTACCAAGATCTTCCTGACAAATGGATAGAAAACAAGCAATGATGTCTTTTAATGCTAACGCCAGATTGACATGCATGATTGCATACTTAGCCACTTTAAAAATTACAATTAATCCTGAGAAGAACAGGCTACAATAAATGTAAGAGTAGGCCTGTGATAAGATAAAAACTACAACAAAATTACAACCAAATATATCATGATTTTGAAGCTTTCGAACAAGCTTGATATTTATTCTTATCAAGTTCTGATTTTGAAAATACAAAGAGGAACGACTGACAAAATTTGAGATTTGTGCAAAAATTTTGGTCCCAAAACAAGTTGTAACTATGGGCTGGTTATTTTAAACATAGTTCAGCTGCTGTTTAACAAAACTGCATCCTAAACAATCCAAAGTTTAGCTGGACTTTCTATCTGAACATTCATTTTGGTGAACAGCATCAAGAAGACCAAAAGCTAACAGTGGTAGGGCATTAATTCTATTAAAGCATTACCCACTTAAAGAGAAAGCACGAGGCCCACTGATTGCATGAAACCATGGTTTGGGTTAGCAGTGCTTTCAATAAGACCTGGCACCCACCGGAGCTCCGGCGGCTATTCTGTTGCGAGTCGCCGGGTATATTTCACCGCGCTCAAGTCGCAGTCGCCACGCTAAGTCGCAATCAAGTCGCTCTCCGGCGGATGTTGTACCGAGGTAGCCACCTATTTCAAATCTTATTGAAAGTACTGGGTTAGACCTCATGTAAATTATCAGCCTATAAATTCATACCTGGAAACTTGTGAGCATCTTTTCCATACTCTGCGAAACAAGAAAAGAACGAAGTTGGCAATCTTTTCTTTGATGTGAAACGCGTTCAAAAACTATAAGAGCATGGGGTGGTTCTTGTTGTCTTCTGTTAGGACAAATGTTGAACAGAGTAAAATATTGAAGGATATATAGAAAATATTAAGAGTACTGTCATTGAAATAAACAATGTACTGCAGACTAGAGTATCTCAAATTCATCAAGGCTAAACCAAGAAAGAAAGAATGAGATAGATCTGTACAAAAAAATTAACTCCGTCCAGAAATGGCAAAAAGCTTTTAATTTGTGCATTTTTCTCCACCACTCCTTGCAAATGCAATTACTGAAACTGTACGCCATTAGAAACCTGATAAATATCATGCTGAAAATATCAACTTACTGCAAGAATGGTGTCACAGGAAGCAATTTGGTTGTGAAGGCTTGCAATATTCTCACTCTCTTTGATATCTTTTATTGCAGTCAAGTAAATAACTTGGTTGGCATTTTTTAAAAGAAAATCAAGGAGTATGTGAACACACACAAGCAGTTAAATAGAATAGGGTAATTAATTGATGCACATTGTGCACTGTATTAAAGCTAATTGTAATTAATAAGTGAATTAGACTTCTAAAATTGTAGATATAGGATTTAGGATACAGTCCAGAATTGATGCATTTTCGACTTCATGTAGGTCTCCCTCAATCTGTCTTGAATACTGCCTGAGGTCTACTCCCTCGATTTTAAAACAATGACCAATAAGGTAATTTAGTGTATTTTTACATAATAGCGATGAACTACTAAAAAAGAGACTAAGGACATTTTAGATCTTAGAAGAATAGTGTAACTGAAGAAATGTATTTTTTGAAGCATTTCTTTTACATTTCCTGACTGCTTTGTTTATTCTTTTTTTTTCAAAACCAATGTAACAAATTTTTATCTTTCACTCATTCTACTTACCTTTTCCAAAGCTTCCTTTACCAATTCGTCTTCTAGATTTTCTTGTATGTGCACTATTTAATCGAAAAAAGGAATGATCCATACTTTCATATTGCGCAACTGAATATATCACTGACAGTTCTGACTAGTGTTAATTCCTAGAATTAATTTCTGCTGTTTTCTAACTAGCTTCATTTGTATTTTTCTTGGTTAAATTATGAAAATTTAATTGCAGCAAAGAAAAAAAAAGTATCGAAAACTGGTTTAAAACCATTCTGACCTCAGCTTGAATTTATCTTAAACTTATATAAATTAACATGTACTGTACTGTACTGCACTTTTCCTTCCATACCATCAACTTCGTCTAAAATAAATTCATCCTGAGATGTGAGGTCCAGTTCACCAAGATCTAAGTCAACCTGTAGATCCTAAGGGAAAGAATAAATACAATTTTAGGAAAGAGTACCATATAACCCCATACATAATTATGCATTCCACTTCTTTGTCTTTCACGACAAAACTTAAAAAACAAAGTTTACTAGTCTGAGTGCATAATTAATGTATGGGTTATATGGTACTCTTGCCCAATTTTATGTCGTTGAGATACAACCTAGTCAACGAACTATTAAAAATAGACAAACACGAACTTCTGTCTGCATTGTATTGGTATTTCGAACCATAAAAGCGCAATGCGAATAAAAGAACGGAGAAAGACACTATCTTAATTTTTAATTACTTCATCTGCGTCTTCGTTGTCGTTGGAATCCCCCTCATTTGTATCTGGGATCACTAGATCATCCTCATTTTCTTGATGGCTGTCCGCCATCTTGGATCGTTGTTGGCAATAAGCATTAATGGTATGTATGATACAATAATGTGTATCATTCAGTCTTCCGATGGTTAAAGACGGTTATATGACGTATAATTTTGCTTTGAGAAAGTCTGCTGATGGTAAATCTGAGAAAAGGAAAGGTGAAGGACAAGGTGAAGGAATTTGCGAAATTCCGCGAGCAAATCAAACGGCGTTATGTTTCGTTACGTTACTTGACCCTCACTTCACATAACCACTGTCGTATTGGCGTGATCATTTCCGTTTCAGAATGACCCAGTTGAATTTCCGCTCCACCCCCTGGAATGCTCGTACAAGCTATAAGTTAGAAGTTGGGGGGATTTCGCAAGCTTCAACATTCTTGGCCTGTTCAAACAGACGGCCCTCCTTCGTATTTGATTTCAAATACTGAAAGAGTAACTTCCTATTGACAAGCGATAATAATTTTTAGTAATGGGAAATTTAATAGGAATTGACTCTCACAAGAAGCAACAGATCGAAGGTAAGATTTGCAAACATTCGCGATTTTAGAGGTTTTCGTGCCAGCACGTTCAGTGAAACCGACGAAATTTTGTAAATGATGGAACTTAATTGAAATTACACGCTGGTCGACGTTCGTGCGATTACTTTAAGAATAAGCGTTATTATCTAAGCAATTAGTTTTTTTTTTTGACAACCACGAATTTTTCTGCCGTCAAAGCAAGAAAATTGCTCTTTTCTTATTTCAAGTATTTCAGCTGCATGCGTGTTGCACTGACGTTTAACTTAGTTGTCAATCTTCTAAAGGCAGAAAAGATCTCAACAGAAACTGATGTGTGATGAAACTGAAACCTGAATTATGTAGCCAAGAATACGCTTTGTTCAGTTTACGAGTGTTCTGAGGAGTTGGAAGGTTATTGTTTTGCATTATAGTGAAATTAATTGCGATATTTAAATTGGTTTTATCGCTCAATTGCTTGGTTAATTTCAGCGTAATTGATCTGAATAGTCTATGTATAGCTTCGATGGAACTTGTAGATGATCATGCCCCTGCCAGCTGAATCGATGTTTTTCCTTTTGTGGCAATATGTAGAAAATTGATATGTATTTCCGGGAGGAAATAGCGAAGAGAGAAAGTGGTTACGTACGCATTTTCTGATGAGAAGGATGTCCCACCCAACTCAGCCGCTTTGTCAGATACATTGTACATGAAGTGATTCAGCTACATTCAGCACGAACCAATTATTACCTGATGGAATGCCCGGCTATTTTGTTTTGATTAATAAACTGACTGTATTTCAACGCATTTTTTTAAAATTTATTTGATTACATAAACACGTAGTTAATATTAATTTTATAAGATGTACTCGTCTACAAAAAATTTTTCTCTCTTTATTATGCGTGTGTTTTATGACCATCAGCGGGTTCAGTTTGAACCATTGAGTACACAGCTATCAAATACATGTTCCGTGTATATATTTTCATATCGTTATTGATGTGACCATTGGTTCATTTTTGTTTAGCACGGTGTTTGTGAAAAGTAAACTCATAATGGTTCAAATCAATTTTCTCTTTCTCAAATAATTTCCAAGTTAGTTTGATTTTTGTTTTCTGCTTTTTGTGAAGAAAAAAAAACAAACAAACTAAGATTCTCTTATTGCCTAAGAGTAAAAGTAAGGTACGAGGGAGAGCACAAATGTCTTCAGAGCACAACCCTAAAGACATTTGAACCACAAGAAAAATGGCAACTGCTAGAGATTTTTTTCACTTTAGTGTTAGAATACAGTAAAAGTGCATGTAGCATTCACATGATCAAAAGAAAATAATTCAAATACTGGAAAATTATAGACGAACGATTGACGTTTCAGCCATATCACTTGGCATTCATCATCGATCGTCTATAATTTTCCAGTATTTGAATTATTTTCTTTTTAACATATTCTCAACTGGATGACTGATATTCATTCACATGATCTTTATTAAACCATTTATTTTGTCTGCCTATAGACATTGCTCAAGAATTTCTGCAAGAGTTCACCTTAGCTTACAATACAGCCTATGGAGTTGAATACACAAAGTTAACTTTGAAGGAAATTGATGCAGAATCATTTGCAGAAGAAAAACCAGCGTATCAGTTAATGCACAGACCAGTGAGTTTTCTTTGTATTGCAAACATTACTTTAGGGTTACATGCACCTCAAGACTCTCTAAGCAAAGTAATGGGTGAAGTTTCAGAAATTTGTAGAGGCACATTTTAAAGAAACTCTTATACATACATGTAGTAATGATCTTTGAAACTCTGTCTTTAATTTGTTTTAGTGGGATAGTATCAAAAATCCCTTAAAAATGGGATATCTCACAAAGAAAGGAGCGGTCGTCAAGAACTGGAAGAAACGTTACTTTGTGGTTAATCCTGATTATTCTATTGACTATTTTGAAAATGAAGAGGTATGCAAGTTATTTAATACTAACAATTATTATAATTTGGATATATCAACAAAGTTGAAGTGGTAAATTGGCCACCATAACGATTACAAAAGCTGACGTTTAGAGCGTGAGCCCTTCATCTGAGCATTAGCCCTTTGTTTATTCACTCCGACGAAGGGCTAACGCTCGAAATGTCAGCTTTTGTAATCGTTACGGTGGCCAATTTACCATTTCAACTTTGTCGATATATCCAAATTATTTTGTTACTCCAACCAATGCAGCCCCAAACAGTTTCTTTCGAAACTATCAGCCTTTTAACAATTATTATCATTGCTAGTATTTCTAGAATTGTCATAATCATTACGATTATCAGTACCATTATCATTATTAATTATTATTATTAAGACTTTTTTAGTTACATTTATAGTCTAAGTTCAGATCTATAAAAATTGTACAATATTATTATAATTGTAATAACTATGGATTATCATGTCATGACCGTTAGATCGACTGTCTCAAGGGTTTAATGTCATGTTGATTATACTAAATTGTTATTTACTCATTGCGTTGCACATTTTGTGGACAGGCATATGAGAAAGGTTTCAAACCTAAAGGTACCATTTTCCCTTGTGGATATGAAGTTAATGGTAACTTGGATGAAATAATGGCAGAGAGACTAAAGAACCTCGCAAAACTGATGAGTAAGACATTATCAGAATATTTTTATGGTAAAAAAGTAAATATTTCATACTATGAAGAGATGACACTTGAGGCACCAAACTACCTCTTCCCCTTTCTTCATATACTCAGGCAACAAAAGCTTGCATTTTTTTTTTAGATTTTCTATTTATATCATGTTGAGAATTATTAATGAGCTTACAATTACAATTATAGTAGTGAATTTTTAGCTATGATTTCCTTTGTTAATATTTTAGTGGATAAGGAATAGAATTTAGAAAAAAAACTTGTACAATGTCTGCATGTATATGTAGCAATTTTTAGAGTCATGCATATATATGTTCAGTCTGTTGATGTTATTTTTTGATAAGCACTATGAATGTGCATGTACAAATGTATTGGATGAAACAAAATTTCCCCAACCAGTTCTGAAGGCTTGCTTTATTTTCTCTGGCTTCTCATACCTGTGTTGTACATTTTAATGTAATTAATTTTAAAAAAATTTTTTTATCTGTTTAAATTTCAAGAGGTGGATGAGAAAGAGGTCGGCGCTCCAGAAAAGCTCCCTGAACACACATTTGAGGTGGCCCATTCTAGAAGAAGGTCTTATCTCATCACTGCTGAAAATGATGAAGACAAGAGTGCCTGGATTGAAACTTTCAAAGTCTGCTGCAGAAAAGCTGAGGGTAAGTAAGAAAGATATCTGTACCCATTTCCACTCCTCATTAGTAAAGAGGTACTAGCTGCCAGAGTAAAGTGTCCTGCCCAAGAACCTAACAAGCTGGCATTGCAAAGGGTTCCAACCTGAATTTAGAGTGCAATATATATGCTTACCTCATAACCATGCAAACAGTCTACCACGAACAATTTTGAAACATACTCACAATGATGTATTTTGTGGTTACAAATTAAAAACAATATTCAATAATACGGCAGGTACGGTCAAGGCTGTGCTCTAAGGAAAATTGAATGGAGCCCAGTGCTCTGAAACTGTGAAATCCTGGGTGCCCAACATATGCTTTGTAAGAAGAAACTAAAATTTCTGACTGAGTCACCCAAGAGCAAAAGTAAGGCACAAGAGGCCACTAGGCACTGCTAGACCACAGCCTTGATGGTGTATATTTGATCATCAGAGGAGTGTGATCTATTACTTTTAAATTTGCAGAGATCGACATGCTACACACAGCATCTGGATGTTTGTTACAGTAGTTATACTTGTGCTGGTACTTCATTGGTTTATATCTTGCATTTTTTTTTTGTCAATGTAGGATTGAAAAGTGAAGATCCAGTGGGCCGTGCTGCTTTTAAAGTGGCTCTGTGGAAGACGTATTGGAGGTACAGAGTTGAGGGAACAGAGGAACAGGTCAGTGAATCTACATGATGAGCAAATTACAGTGTAGGTATTTTTAAGAATTTTTGTTGTAATTGTGCAAGGTATAAGCACCTTGTCAAAATACACATAGAATTAGTATGCTGCAAGCTTTAGACATGGAGAGAAAGATGTATGAAAACAGTTAATTACTAACTATAGTAAGGACAAAGAGTTTGCAGTGTCATCCTCTTAATTGAAATGTTTCTAACACCCTAGTAAGAAAGTCTGTACATATTCAAGATTGACTGACACTGCATTCTATAACTGACAGAGCCTTCTTTGGAGTGGATGCTAGTCTATTCCAATAATGTGACCTCCAGCATTTCATCAGATTTTTCTATCAGTTCATTGTTGTGTATTTAAATACCTGTGGTCAGGGAGAACGATAAAGGTGTCTTGCCCAAGAACACAGCATGATCACCCCTGTTACCCCTGATAGGCATTGCATATAGACCTTTTAATTTTTAGTTGTGTGTTCATACCTTTAGCTGAAGTGACGTAATTTTTCTCCCTGATAGGTTCTCAGTGATATCCTTGTGGACAGGATCAACTGTCGAGTCATGTCTGAAGTGTATGCTGAAATTCGTGGAGGCTGGACAATGAAGCAAAAGATCAGAGAGCAGGTTGGCTAAATATTAAGTAGTTAAGATGGAGATTGGTATCTCTTACTGTGGCTTTTGTCTTATTAAACACACCTGTCTATGCCCTCCTTATAATTAGTAATCAAAATGAATAATCAAAACAGACAGATATTATATGTACAATTGGCCAGTGATAACTCAAATCAAACTTCCCAAAAGATTGGAAAACTCAAGAGGCAATTATTTTTAGTTTTGTTTCTGATTGGTTTAGTTGAGACTACTGGTGAGACAAGTTTGCCAGACTAGTCAAAGAGCTAATAAGTAAAACAGAAGAAATGTAGTTAAGGATTTCTTATAAAACCCAATTGAAAGTTGTCACTCTAGCTATTGTTAAAGTGATTAGGATGTACAATACCACTGCCCCCCTCTATCCGAGCTCGCAGGTTTGGAAAATTCTTGTTGTACTATTTATACAGGTTGTGAAGACTTTAGATTCTCTTGTTATGGCTATGGTCATTCCATCATGGAAAGGAATGCAAGAGTCTTCTCAGCAAATGAAAAAAGTCCTTGAGCCAACTATCAATGACAAAAAGGATGAACTGGCTGCCGTGCAGCGCAAAGTCATGTGGGATTTATCAGGCATGTGCTACAATTGTTCTAAAGAAGGAAGCTGTACTTTAATATATAGTCCATAAACGAGAAACTACTTTCATTCTCCTCAATATTGACGTGATCAGTAACAGTTACTGATTTGTTAAGTCTCCATGAACGGGCAAAGAGGATCACAAGTAATTCTTATTAGTGATTGGGGGGTTAAGTATTCGAAGCACAGGCACTGCATGAAAGCCTTCATGAATGCATGCAGTTATTAAATCCAAGAGCAGTAGTAAATTGCGTGATGGTTGAGGGGTGCAGTGAAAAAACAAGGGAAAGTTTGGGTAAAAGATGCATTCTTTATGCAACCCAAACCCAAACTTTCCTTATTTTTTCCCTCTCCCTCTACTATCGTGCCATGTACTATTTTGCATTGGTTAACTTACTGTATGCCAGGAAAAGACTACAGGGCCAACAAATGTTAGTAAAAGTTGATCATTTTAGTCCAGTTATTTGAGTGAGAGTGGTTGACTTCGACGATGAATTGTATTTAAGCACAGTTTGTTAAAATGTCAGTATAACTGAACCCTGGAACTGGTGGGGACTGGGCTTCATATTCTGGATAATTTAGAGTCTGGATAATAGAAAATATTAATATAAATGTTAATGGATAGTGGGGCCTGAGAAGCAAGTGTGGGTAATCACAAAATTTGGATAATTGAGGTTTGGATAATCAAGGTTTGACTGTAACTGTCACAGAAAATAGTTTGTGCAGAACTATTTTCACATGGACAATCTGACTTCACTCTTGGCCAAACTAACTTACTTTAACACAGCCACAAGGGAAAGTATGATACAAAGCGCTGGCTTAATTTTCTTATTTGTGGGGTGGTATGTGAACTCAATTTGCCTGGATATTTTATGCGACAAGGACAAGGAGACTGATTCAGGAGTAACCACAGTACATTAACATATTCTGTACTTGCATGGCTGTAGGTGCACAATGCATGAATCTCATTACACTGGTGAATTAATGATGTGGTTAGGTAGCATATCTGAAAGAAGTCATTTCTTAAATTTGTATAATGTGAGAATAGACCGTGTGTGCATTGTGATTTTGTTGTTATTCATTAATGCGATTTATTTTTATTTTCTTTAGAGCTTCTGAAAAGTACTTTGGAAAAAATGTTGAAGGACATGGAAGAGACAATGAAAGAAATGGCTGACCTTTTAAGACGAAGGGTATTAATATTTATCAGTTATTAAATTATTATTACACGCTGTTTCCATTTTGGAGGACTTACAATGTGCTACCATCCAAAAAATATCTTGCAGTGGCGGATCTAGGGGAGGGGTGCCCCCCAGGCCTCCCCTCTTATTATGGGTAAAAAAAATTAGCGAAGAAGGAAGGAAACCCGGCAGGTGTACACAGACATACAAACCGGCCCCCAGGTGTCCTCAATATTATCTAAAATTTCTGTTTTCTTTGGTTTCGCAGATGGAACAAGGCTTGGCAGAGTTAAGGAAAATCTTCATTATGAAAGTCGATGAAGTCATTGAACAAGCGAAGAACACGAATGAAATTGAAGCAGCCTTGCCTTCAGTAAGGGTTTGTCGCGTCTATAAATGAGCAGATTGTTGATTATAAAAGGAAAACTACTGTGTGGTTCGGAAACCGTGTGGTGTTTATTCCAAAGTATTACTGTACCGAAGCTTTCAAACGTCGGCCCCAAAACGATTATTGCAAATTGTTAATAGATTTAAGACACTTCCCAACGATGCTGAAATAAACTCAAACATCGCGACGTATCAATGTACAAATCAATTGATCCTTGAATTGTATGGTGCGGGTATAATCTTCATTTGCCGTCCTCCAGTTATCAGAGGGCCCACCAAAATGTTCGCCTTTGCAGAGAATGTATTACTTTTTCTCTTTTTTATTTGAATCAATTAAAGTATTGGATAAAGGGTTGAGCAAATTGGAGACGTTTTTCTGCCGTTTCCGTTTGCTATTATTTTTAAATCTTTATGTATTCTTTCAAACTCACTTTTTCCCCTAGTTCTTCCAGACGTTGGATAGAGCTCCACGTTCATTGTCCGTATTGTACGATGCTCTAGTTTGCATTCGCTTTGTGAGCACGCTGCGCGAGAAGTTTGATCAGCGTATCAACAAACTGAACGGTCATCTGGTGACAGACATTGGATCTGACAAGTTGGCTCAGGTAAGTGATCCATTCTTCTTTGAAAAACGGGGTGTGAAAATTTAGTGCTTCATCTGTAAAATTATCTTCTCTGTTCAGTGTTACTAGGGGACCAGCTGGAATGGAATGTAAGGCAGGTGTTCTGTCCCAGGTTTCCCCAAACTTTTCTTTGCACTCTTGGGTTAAGAGAGGCACGATGGAAAGTGTCTTGCCCTGAAACTTCTAGATCTTTTGTTTCGAAGTGTTAACCGTTAAGCTATTCCTTCTCCCAGCATGAAATTAGTAAGCATCACTACTTTTAGGGACTGTGCTCGTTTTAAAATTGTGAATGGACATAGAGTTGATGGAAATGTGACATGCATCCATTCATTCATTCGTTCATTCTTTTATTCACACTTATTCTATTAAAAGTACAACAACGAGAAAGAGAAAAAGTAGAAAAGAAAAAAAAAGAAGAGAGTTCTAACTATACATGAATTTACACAAAGCAGTGGAAAGAGTGTGTAGTAGCCAAAGGAGCCAAGCTTTCGAGTTGGCCACTACCACAGAGCAGTTACGGATGGGTGAAAGTTAAATACTCTTAAGGGGGATAGCACATATACTAAATAATTAAAATAGTAAAACAGAGCTCTATGATAGGTTAAAGTTGTTCAAGATGTCTGCCTGCCAAGTAGGAAGAGTTTATATTCTTTTTAAAGCTTTTGGCAGGGAGACACTTTATTTGGATAGGTATCGTTTGCCAGATCTGTGATGCCACCACACTAAATCTTGCTAGACCATAATTGGTTCTAGAGAATGGTCTGTACAAGTTTTGATTAGTGTCATAGTGGCACCCACTCCTTATCATACTACCCTGCCAATTTACGTTTACTTCAGTGAACCGTGATTCGTTTATATCGCGCCTTACCCATACCCCTTTGACACTGCATGACAACTTTTGTTCTAGCTTCTGGACTCAGCCATGTTTACCTTTGAGGAACGTTTCAATGAAGGAATCTCTGGTACTGACGCAAAGGCAAACGGCGAAACAGCTGCGGACATAATGAAAGTCGTCAAGGAGGAAGTGCTTTTGGTAAGCTGCGCCGCCCAGCGCTACTCGTAATTGTTTAAATCGTATAACTTAATCAAAGAAACTTAAGTCAGTTCATGACATACGCAGACCATTTTTCAGCTCTGTTGAGGTGTGCTTCAACTAGCTTAGAAGTAGGCGCGTTCTTTGTTACGCACGCGTGGTTTTTACATGTACTTAGTAAACATTATGGCCATTATTTTTTCCAATACACAGAAATATGACGAGGACCAGAAAATCGTGCTTGTTGAATACTTGATGGAGTCAATGCTGTGTATGTTGGTGCCACACACCCACAACCTCACTGATCAAGTTTGCAAACCAGTAAGTGATACCAGTCGATGAAAACTACCTTTAACTTTTTAAACTCCCATGACTGACCAATACAGAATTTCTCCAGACGAAATCCATACAATTTCAAGCAGACAAGTGACGAGAAGAAAGAAAATTTTCAACTAGGAATTATTAGTTGATTTAATACCAAATTCTCAAAACTCGCATCATAAGAATTATTTGGCAGACAGTAAGGAGAATTGCTAATGAGATCTTGGGATTTAAGGGTTAGTAACAGCTTTAAGATTCTCTCACTGATCGAGAAATACATCAACTTACAAGTTAAGCAGAGCTTCCTCGACAAACTCTTCTAATTGCTATGATTGTACTTAGCGTTTTCAGTCTGTTTCAAAAATATGAATTGAACGGTTTTCAATTAGTAAATCCACTATCTAAGACCAGGTTGTTTTCCAACATCCTTTCCCTCACGGTTTTGGTGATTTGTTACAGATGATCAAACCAGTGGAAAGTAGCATCCCAGACCCCCTCCGCCAAGCAATTTCACTCAGCGACAAATATGATACTTATGTGGAAACAAGCTTACGAGACGCAGTCAAGAAAGGTGAGTCAATCTTTTCATTAACGTAAGATCTACATATGAATGCTCTGCACTTTCTGTTGTACATTTCACACAATTTTGGCTCTGAGAGAATCCGATATTAAATCGCACAATATCGCCTACATTTTCTGATGACTCACTTTTCCATGAGCATTACAAACAAGGGGCAGAAATGCTAAGAATATATGAAAAATCATATATCTGAATTGCGGTTAAAGAAACGCATATTAGGAGAACGATCTTCGCAGTGAGGAGCACTATTTAAGCAATAGTGAAATTTAGACCTGAAAAAAATTTAGGCCTGTACGAGATTCGAACCCATGACCTCTGCGATGGCGGTGCAGTGCTCTACCAACTGAGAGCTGGTCATGATGGTGATTCGTAATGAACCCGTGAGATAATGAGTCAAATGCTAAGAATATAGCAGAGGCATCGCAGAGGCATGGGTTCGAATCCCGTACAGGCCTAATTTTTTTCAGGTCTTAATTTCACTATTGCTTAAATAGTGCTCCTCACTGCGAACATCGTTCTCATATAAGGGGCAGACTAACATTTCTGTGAACGTGTAAAATGGCTTTTCTTTATGCATGGTTCACTTTCCTCTTATTCCCGAAAGCTCATAAATGTTTACAATGAATAAGGAAAGTGAGGTTAACTGTGATTATTATCTCATGTTACAGTTTGTGGAATCGGAGGAGCACCAGTGGCTCAACCAAGTGGCGAACCTACAGCCGAGGAAGAGAAGACCGTGGAACCGAAAGTTGACGAGCAGGTGAAAGACAACGATGAAACCTCGACCGAGCAACCGCAAGCTGAAGAGAAACCGGCTGAAATCGCAAATGAAAAGTCTAGTGAAGCCGAAGAGAAACCGAGTGAAGGCGAAGAGAAACCGAATGAGGTTGAAGAGAAGTCAAGCGAGGCCGACGAGAAACCAAGTGAGGACGAGGGAAAACCGATTGAGGCCGAAGGGAAACCGAGTGAGGTCGAAGGGAAACCAAATGAGGTCGAAGGGAAACCAAGTGAGGACGAAGGGAAACCGAGCGAGGCCGAAGAGAAACCAAGTGAGGACGAAGGGAAATCGATTGAAGCTAAAGATAAAACGGAAGAACCTGAAACCGAGAAATGTGATTTAACAACAGAACTTTGAAAAGTGCTGCTAACTAAAGATAACTTTTTATGAACTAGTAAGCTTTCACTAATCTTAACTCCCCCATTAAACAGGTGCTCTACTGTAAAACTTTCCCCTTTTACAACGGCGGTAAGTTTAGGAAAACAGAAAGAAAGAAAGAAGTTGACAATTTTTTCATGAAGTTCTTTTGAATGGGATATAGTTTACAAGGCAAATTGATATAACCTCTGCTCATAGACTTGAGTGCTACAGAAAATATTTAAAGATATCAAGTTTTAATTGAGAAGCGTGTTCAAACAGTTTTGAAAAACTTCAGAAAGGGCATATCCGTATTTCGAAGTATATTTGTATTAAGCACACATCATACAGGAAAATAAACTTAGAAATGAGTATTGACGACCTCAGAGTGTTTTTCTTGTCTGTACAGGCATTACATTTTAAGACGCCACCCATCCACCATAGTCCGGTGGCATCGTGAAGTCTAGTCCATCTTTATTGACGTTGGCTTGAGACCAACACTTGAAAAGCAAGTTACCAATCGGTAGGGTTTTCCCTCCGTCCCATGAGTAAGAGACGGTGGGGATGGCGACTAGATCAAATTCCAAACCCTGAAACAGAGCGTTAATGTCAAATTTCCCTCCCAACGGGTAGTCCTCAGTCAATTTTCCGTTGTTAGTGCCCCTTACCCTTCCACCCACCCTGGAGGTAAACCATTGATGAGTACATAATGGCTACCAGCCAACTGCCAGGAGAACCTGACGAAATCTTGGCTCAGCCTACAGGGGAAAGGTATCTCGTGATTATCGTCCTTGGAAGGAAGTGTGCCATCTCTCACTGTTCACGACTAATAACTTAGGAACAACTCGGCTGTTTCAAAATGTCTTATTTAATTTCTCAACTTGACATATAAATTCGAACCAGTTCCTACAGGAACATTTACTTAAAGAGACAAATACTGCGAAGACAAGGGTAAATAAAAAAATATTCTGTTCATAATTAATAGTCCTAATGTAAGAATTTACGCGTGAGTACGATTGTTAGCACTTTTTTATGCATTCATGATAATTATGCACGTGGAGCATAAAGTACTGTACAAAATAACTTTGGCTAAGGAAAACAAAAAACTATTATATCGCTCTGTTGCGAATTTCTTCTTAATATTCACGTACGTTGTTTAAAAAGAAATTCCAAATAGAATAACCAACGCAATACAAATGAAACTTTTCAGATTGACAACCCTCTGGTTGTTATTTGGACAATGGGTAACCCTGGGTAAAGTCTCGTATCACCACCATGGTTATTTTTTCAACAACAATCTTCTCACGTCTCCCCCTTCGCTCCCAATCCCCCCCTTCCCCCTCCTTAGTCCTTATCATCCCCTCCGCCTTCATTAAAAAAAAAAAAAGAAAGAAAAAAGAAAAAACAGTAATAATGTTATAAAAATTCGAAACGACTTGTTATATATACCTAAAAGAGGTTTGGATCGAAGAACTCTGTGACCAAAGAAAAAAGTTGGCATCATTCATCGCCAGAAATTATAAATAACATAATTAATTATGAGAATACTATTTGCAATCACATGACCAGCATAACCATATCATTCCTCGTTAGGCGTATCATTAAAATAAGAATCAAGTGCGCATGTCTGTCACACTGTCAGACTGTCGAACCTATGACAAGCGGGGTCCAAAACGTTCCTTTATCGCCGTTGTAATGACACTTAGCGCTCTTCAGTGTTCATTCGAAAGTTCGTCAAATAAAATCGTCCTATCACTCCACGGAGAACTGACTCTGATATTCTGTGTATTGATTCATGGTGGCCATCCCCGATCATGTTTAGTTCTATGTCGAACTTTGATCCACGACAATATCAATTTGAGTTCCAACCTTCAGACTCCTCTCGGTTTATTCGCCAGCATTCAATGCTACCTTTCAAATCATGACCAGTTCCACTGCATCAGTCCTGGGTCTCTGTGGTCTCTTTAAGGACCTCCACGTAATTGGAGGGAAAATAGCCAACCTATCATAGAGAAAAAGAGAGTAATGTCGAGCCTAATATGCTTACGTTCCCGTCGTTACCAATCCGGCATGGAAGGCTCCTCATTCATCTGTATCGGTAGTTTTAAAAGTGTTGAGCATCGAAGATACAAGCGATTGCCACCATTTGAACCGCTTAACCTTAAAATAACTTCAATTCTGAAGTGTTCTGTTGCCTCAAATTTCATCTTCAACCGTCAAAACGCCATACATTCAGCTATCTACCTTAAGAGGGTCCATCCTCCCCTGCCAACCAAACCTACTCTCAGTTAGAAGCCAACTAAAAGGCTTCTTCGCTGCACCCACCTGACCGTCGCATTCTCCTCTCCACCAGTCACCTTCCTGGTTAAGTATGAGAATCTTGGAATTTTTCTGCAACAAACCCAGAGAAGACAAAAAGTGTGACAAACGGAACAAGGTATAACCCACCATATTTTCTTGCCCGTTATCAAGCTATCACCTTCTAAAAAGTTGTACCACTGACCAGAACCACCGCCACAACAACAACATCAAATAGAAATATTAGATAGATAGATAGATAATAGATAGATAATAATCTTTAGACAGGGTGCGTTCTCACAGAAGTGGTTTTCAGAACGGCCTTGTAAGCACCCAGCCAACCCACCCCAGGGGAGGACACCCATCACACAGCATACTCGTGCGTGGGAAATTAACGTCTCCTACCCCTAACCCTGCAGGAGACGGGACCTCCATTTATTCGTCCCTATCCGAGAAGACTAGAATATCTAACCATTTCTTAATGTTACGGAAAGGAAGCATATTCTTCTCAATTATTTTAAGACCTTGAGTGTTGGTCCGGCTGGGGCTCGAACCCTCGACCTCCCGCACAACAGTCCAGCGCTCTATCCATTGAGCTAACCGGGAAATATTGGATATTAATTAAAGTTAATTCTTCATTACTACCTGAATAGAGATTTCTTTTGGGTTCCTCGCCACATAAGGATACAAGGCTTTAGCCCAACCAATTCCATCTGTTAGTAAAACAAAAATGAATCTGTAGCGTTTCAAATAACGAAAGGCCAGGCAACATGAGACAAACAAAGCAAGTGGATGCCAGTTCGGTTGGCGACACGAGAAGATCTGTTTAAGTGACTAAGTCATGTTTGTCCATCTTTAGACATCTGATCCAAATTTTTCAAGATTGTCATTTACAACCGGTGTTCATCTTTTCAATCCTCAGCCATCCTACTTTGTTTCTTCTGATCTTTTTCGTTCTTTATTTTCCTTTTTTTTTTTTTTTTTTGGAGATAGCTCGTATGGTGTTTTTCTGTTTTAGCAGACTAACATTCCGTACTTCCCTAAATGTGTTATCGACCAAAAAATCGAGGCCTACTTTCCTCTTTTAAACCTGCTTTAGTGCGAGGAGATACCTGGTTAAAAAATTTTGCAATTGCTTCACCTTTGCTTTTTTGTTCTTCGTTGACACCGTGTCGTAGTTTCGTGTCTAGTCCAGGAAAGCTCACCCGGAGTGTGTTGTTCTTGTAGTATTCAACTAGTTCCTAAAAAGGCAATGATTCATTGAATATTAGTGTAATGACAAAAGGTGTAGGTAGGAGGATGGGGAGGGGAGGGAAAGAAAAGGTAAGATACCTTGAACCCTACTGAGGGTGATGTGGGAAGTGAGATCTACTGTTGCGATACCGCTAAGAAATGCGCGTTGAAAACTCGTTCATTCAACCAAGTAGAAACAAATGAAAATTATAAGTGCATTCAAGATACAGAAGTGGTGCCATACCTCTACTGATGGGAAGGTAATTGCTTTTGTGAGATAGAAAGCTCCTTCTTCATATGGGATTTTGATATGTTTAACATTATTGCGAAATCTGTGGGGCAAAAAAACACATGAGTTATATCACTATACAGGTACGCGAGTCGTCAATTAGGCATCTACCCATTGACTGTTTTACTCTTGTGCCTAAATGATTAAATTTATTATTTTCAATCAAATGTTGGGTGATACTGACAGTTTGTTGGTTCTTACTTGACAGATAAGGCGTATTCTCCGGATCTGTTCACACTTTCCCTTATAAGGAAAGTGCCGTCACTTTTGTCAGTTAGTTCTTGTTCTGCTAACGGTCTGTCTTTCCTTCCCGCAAACCTGGTAAAGTGACGAACCAAAAGAACATATTTAAACACTTAAGTCTGCTGAGCAGGTCGCTCGTTCCTACCTTTAAGAGACCGTTCAATCAATATCTCTTCAATACAGTAACGTAAATCACGTAATACGATGCTAAGTCATGTTAAATAACGCCATTCACGTCACGTCACGTAAAATACAAAAGAATCTGCACTCTATTTACACACGGTTCAAGCGTCTTTTGTAGTTGCTTTTATTTTTACTCAGAAAAGCACGCAGGAGTGTTGCAGAAGGAAGAAACCGTTTTCAAATTAAGTAACAAACCGAGAAATAACTTACCAGTTAAAACTTTTTAAAGAAACGTTCAAATGCGACGGTGGAGGAGTGGAATGGACTCTAAGAAAAATACAAGCGTGGAAATTTGTATAAGTACATTACAAGATGGTTTACACATTTTCGTGTGCACGCTGTTTTGGTTATTGAGTCCATAAGACCACTATGTAAGGAAACATTAGGCCAAAGACAGGGCCTCGCACATCTAAAAAGAGAGAGCTAAAACATGTGATGTTGCCGCCTCTAGCCTCCTCGGGGTTTGAATCTCCGATCAACGCACCGCCCCCTTATACTCAGGGGAAAAACTCACTTTCATCGCACAAGTTACACCCGTCAATTTTAACCTTATATTATCGTCTCAATTTCTGTACTATCCTATCTAAACTCAATACATATGAAAGATGACAATGCATCAGCCGAAACTTTTTAAAATTCAAGTTATCAGTATCGAATTTTCCTTGCTATTGCCCATCAGGCCCGGTTGTTCAAAGGGTGGATGACGCTATTCACTGAGTAAATCGCTATCCTGTGAATAGCGCAGTACGTTTTGTCGACACATGCTCTGGATAACGATTTCTGCTTTGGATAGCGTTGTCCGCCCTTAGAACAACTAGGCCCAGGCCACGATAGTATGCACATTTTAGTTTATAACATAACCAAAGTAAAGCGCGCGCTCTGATTGGTCAATTTAGCGTCCCCCATTTGCCCATGGGTGTACGCTGCTGACGTGAGCAAATCCAAAGACTATTTTTCCGCGCGCGCTTGTTTTTTCTGGTCGCGTAAGATTTGTTAAATAAAAGGGAACTCTTTAGCTACAATGTATCAATGTTATGTTATAAAACAAATGGTAAACACCACAGCGTACACTATTCAGTTATGGATGCACTTGAGAGGTTTGCTAAGCACTCAAGAAGGTAGAGTCGCTCTCGGC